TGAAGTGAGGACGTTCTGTTGTCATTCATGTCGATGATGTTAACGAAATTTATTCGAATATAATTTGGAATATACGAAAACGTCAGATAAGTGTAATACACATTCTTATATACGGAATAATACAGGATGCCCCGTGAAGTTATATAGTGATTTCAGAAGGTGAGTTCATTATGAATGACATATCAGCACGGGTCCTATTCTCAACGGGTTCGGAGCTATGAATATTGGAATCATGTCGCTTGTTAGCCGCAGACTCCATCTTTATCGGCACATTTTGTTAATTGACTATGAAGTGAATATGAACAGTACCGGAATGTCCCAGTTATGGGCTCATGAAAATACATGCAGAGCAGTAGAAAGTAAGTCACGTTCGTTTTTCTGTAAACGTGTGCCGTGATGTTATTCTGACAAGTGACATTTACGCCGGATTTTTTCAAACCAGAGTGTCGGCCATCTTGGAGAAACTTTCTGTGCGACTCTGATTGATGTACTACCAGCATTTCGAGACAGCTTCACATTTTGGTAGGGATAACACACGATATCCGAATGAATAGCTACCTTGCCGATGAATCGGTCATGGTTGTAAGATGAACTGGCCACCGCGTTCGCCGGATCTCAGACCCTTACATTACAACGTATGGGGTCAGATGAAAAGCATCTTTCACCCAATAAAACGTTTTCCCCCCAATGACAAACTTCTTCAAGTGAAGCTATATTCCAAAATCTCATAGCCAAGACACCCCTGAGAATAGGGCCCGTGTTGATAATAAAATTCTGTATTTTCTCAGGAACCACTTCCTGAAGTTACAGGATATTCTGTATGTTATATACCTCGTATTTTTCCTTTTGGTGGGTTATACTACATATATATATATATATCACGAAGCTGTCAGTAGCTAGCATTGAATGGTAGGATAATTGATGAATGATGAATTGGAAAGATTTGGAAGAACATGATCATGGCTTTAGGAAGGCTCTATCCTGACATTTACAGCACAGCTACAATTGCTAAATTTTTCGAATGAGGGAAACTTATTATGATTTAACATTTATTAATTTCTACAGCTGTTGGCATAAAATAAAATCTCTCGTCCTACTAAGAAAATGTAGCACTACAGCCTACATAATTTAGTATGAATATTAATTCTAACTTACTCAAAAGTATCTATAGGCATAAACTGCAATTCAGTTTCAGAAGAAGAAAGCAACAACAAGACCAGATTTTTTATAAAATAATTTCTACTGGTAACTTGTGCTACTGGTAACTCGTTCTACTGGAATAAAGCTAAGTAAAGCAGGTGTTTTCTACGCTAAGTCTACTTCGAGCCTTTAATCTGCCTAACTTACAAAGCAGCTTCATTGATGGTAGAAGTTCATCGCGACTTCCCGTGCGCTGGGGTCGAAGTTTTAGCTTATTGCTGCTGTTGAAATACACGTTGTCAACACTGCAGCCTGGTGGCAGAATACATAAACTCTGTGCTGTATCATAAGCAGCCAATATTCTGTCAGTCTTACTTAATCTACATATATTAATTTCCGCTGTGAATATGTGGACATACATGTCTCCCTTTAAGATTTCTAGAGCCAGTTCTTGAGAAGTATTTGTGATAGAAGATCGATTCTTGAACAGTCATTTCCAGATTTTGCATATATTGTATGGTTCTTTATAAAGGATTTTCTCTGTATAAAACAATGTTCTTCTAACTGCAGGGGTTATAAAGCATCAGATGAGAAATAACTAGGTTATTCATTGGTGAGAACATGTCAACAGGATGTTAATGGGAATGGTTATGCTTAAGATCTGAATAAACTGAAAAATTCTTTACACAATAATCTGTTTAAACTATTGAACATACTCTTAAGCTACCAGTATCGCGTTAAGATGTTATTCATACCTAAGGGCTCGTAATTCCCATATGTGTTGCTTCTTATTTTGGCAGTCTCTATGCTTCTAGAAGCTACACAGTTTTGATTAAAATATGGTATGATAAGTGAGAATGATGAGAAAGTTATTCTGATGTGTTTGAAATTACTTTCATAGAACTTTTCTTAGGAAAATACAACAAACGCAAATATTATGTTTTTAGACATTATCCATCATGTTGTCTTTATCTAAAAAAATAAACAGGACGGTTTTTATATAAAGACAACATGATGGATAATGTTCAAAAACATTATATTTTTACTAATGTACCATCATCACAAACTTTTAGATCTTAAAGTAAAACAAAATTTTGTCAGGTGTCATATCAGAATTCAAACCGTTAAACATTCGAAGGGATGTCAGTTGCATAACTGTTGTGATAATCTACTGTGCTTTAAAAGCGAACACTTATTACATAGAGCTCTTTTTTTTATATACAAAATATGCTGTCATGTGATTGCCTCTATATGAGGAGTTCCAGTGGTCAATTTTTGCTATCCCTTCTTCCAGACACACATTTTTTTTTACTTTTAAAAAGGATTTTGTATTTTTAATTTTATTGCTGCCTGCAAGACTAAATTATCGGTCAGACTTACGGGTCCAAAAACCCAGTGATTCTGAGTGTTATACACCATTGTCAGAACCCTTTATAATCGAATATTATCAGGTATCAGAATGCACAAAACAATGATTTTGATTGTAATTTTTATAGATCTCATGTGTGGTTTCTCGCTTTGAGGAAAGAGAATACATTACAGATATGTGAAAACATACTTCTGGGGAGAATATTTGGACCTAAGTTTAGTATATTACATAATAAACAACTTTTCCAAGTGTTGTTGGTCACCTAAAGTTATGATAGTGAATTCTAGGAAGCTGTAGTGGGCTATGCATGTAGCTGGGGAAGGAAAGACAAGTACTGCATTCAGAATTCTGTTAGGGAAATCCATTAGTAAATGTTCTCTTTGACGACTGGCAAGGGAATTGAAAGATAACATTAAGATGAATATTAGGGAGATAGTGAAGTTGGAATGAAACCAGTTCAGACCTGTGTTGAAAGATGGGCTTAATTACAGTATTTTAAAATTATCTGTCTAATTTCAAATAATTTTCACATGCTCTGTTGTTTGCATGTGATACAATATTCTCAGTATCTTGTCATGTTGAAAAACATAACTATTTTATTTTAAATATATACATATTTTGTCCCTCAACTGAGTTTGCATTAATAATTTGTTAGCACTTCGGTATTAATTTTATTGTTTGTTCTGTGAGCAACTCTCTGTATCTTATACTTCTGATACCTTGGATATTTTTGCCAAAATTAATGCACGAGTACAGTACATAACTCTGTCCTTGAAGCATTCTTACATCTGTATATTCTTAATTTTAGTAATGTAAATGATTTATATTATTCACATGATAATACTGTAAGGTACACTTAGAACACACATGCATCAACATAACCATAAAATGCATAGAAGTGACATATATATTAAACACCAATTAAAGAAGGTGCAAAGAGAAAAAGAGAAAATATCTTAATAAGAGTTACAAAAATAGAAAAATACTTCCTTTATTTTCTTCCTCCACAATGTCACAGTGTTCATCCATCATTCCTTCCTTTTGTAAGTATACTGGGTCAGTCAACGGTAAAATATTCTGGATTTCAATATTTAAGCTTTGAATTTAATATTCATTTTTTAAGTTATATCAGAATAAATTAATATACTTACTTTTTCTTAATTAAATATGAAAGTAAGTATTGTACAATATTCTCATAGAGTTTGGGGTGCCCATTAAACTACTTAGGCTGATTAAAATGTGTTTAAATAAAATATATGGTAAAGTCCGTATAGGTAAACTTTGTCTGATATGTTCCCTATCAAAATGGTCTCCATTAGAATAGTCCAAGAAAACTGGGTGGGACTGAAATTAAATGGGACACATCACCTTCTGTTCTATGTTGATGATGTAAATCCATTAGGATATAACACAAATACTCTAAAGAAAGACACAGAAGCTCTCATTGATGCTAGTTAGAAAGTCAGTCTAGAAGTAAACACAGAGAATACTAAGTATATATTGAAATCTCTCACCAGAATGTAAGGCTAAATCTGAGCATACAGATAAATAATAATAGATCCCATAAAAATGTAGCAAAGTTCAGATATTTGGGAGTGACAGTAACAAAACAAAATTTCATTCATTAGGAAATTAACAGCTGGTTAAGTTCAGGTAATGCTTGTTACCATTCAGTCCAGAATCTTTTATTCTGCTCACCTACTGTCTAAAAATGTAAAAATTAGAACATACAAAACTATAATTTTACCTGTGGTTCTGCATTGGTGTGAAACATTAAGGAAAGTAAAGAGGCAGATAGTCTTTTCTTTTGTGTTAATACTATATATGAGTTTTGCTTTTCCTGTCAAACACAACAATATATACCAAACAACTTGCTCACATTTCACTGTGTATAACTGAGTTTATTGGTTGTACAATGTCATGATATGTTTCGTCTCATGGAGCCATCATCAGGTGATACATTAACAGAACATACTATTCAATTATGTCTCCTGTATGAATCCATATATTGTATGTATCATTGTGTGTTACAGTAAACTGAAAAATATGGTGTGCTTCTTACTTTTTCATTAATCACCTTTATACGCACAGTATAACTGGTGTGTTTTATGCTGCTTTAAACCTATATTAAACAAGTATTTAAAACTAATTAAGAGTCTTAAAATATTAAAAAATATATTAATATGCTAAACTATTGTTAAAATACCGAACCCATGGAAATACCGTATTCTAAATATTCTCAGTGGTTTACTCCCTCCTTAATTTAAATAAAACTGTTTTAAAATCTTGTAGGCTTTAAGAAATTCTTAGGGTTCTGTACATTGAATACTCTTGAATAAATTTGTAATTAAGGGACTTTACTGAAAGAATTGGTACATTTGAAAGTGTTCAAATTTATTATGAAATGTAGAAAAGGATGCTAGCATATGGCAAAGTTTCATAAAAATCTGCAATGTGCTCATTTGAATTCATCAGACATAAAAATACTCACGTCTAAACATCCTCTTCTCCCCACTCAGGCTCATGGTTCGACCTAGCTCCCCCTTTACTGCCTTGAGGCTCCTTAGGATTTCGTCTGGATCTCTGCCCCTTGAGCATGAGCTCCTTCGTCGCTCTTTACTGTAGCTTGGAGGTGGAAGTTCAGGATCTTTAAGTAAATCATAGAAAACTTTTGAGCAAGAAATATATATGCACAGAACTGCAATGCAGACTGAAGCATTAAGGAGCAGGATTGACAGTGAACTGCCTGGAGCTCGAAGGATAGAAAATTAAACTAATTATACATCATGGTTTACAATTCTGAAGAAGTTAACACGCAAACTGAATGAGTGAATGTATGACTGAATGAATCAGGGGTGGATCATAATAATCCTGCACTTGCATCGTGACCTAAAATAATCTATTTTGCTTCCCCTTTTGATTAGACATTTATCAATCCTACACTTGATAACATGTACCTGCACAACTTTGTTTATAGGAGTGTCATAGGAATCTCTTTGTTCCCTAAAGAACTGACCCAGGTGACGAAGTCTTATATAAGCTATGGTCTCACAATCACAAAGGATGTGTGTGGCTGAAATACACTAATTAAAATTTAATACGCTTTTACAGGAATGGTGTCATAAAAGGAGTTTATTATATTTTGTGTAATCCCAGGTGTATTTGTGTATTCATTCATCAGTAATCTGTCAGACGACAGGTCCACAGTCTCTTCCAAAACAGTTCCTCCACTTAATGCCATCTAGAGCTTTCTCCTTCAAATGAGAATATCCTCTTCTGTCCCCAAGGTCATCCAGCATCTTCTTACGTCTTCTTCCTCGTCTTCTGGTCACTTCTATCCGCGTATTTGTGTATACATCATAATTATTGAAGAGATCAGTACTATGATGTGTGTAAAGATTCTGAACTAAATACCAATTCGGATATCGGAATGGATATGTAACTGAGCTAGAGGACGGAAGATGGGTTACGGATTAATGCCTCTTTTAGCAGTTACATATTCTGGAAAACACTGACGCTTGCTGGTAAACTTGTCAAAAGCCACGAGTCGTACATCTGCCAGTGCACTGTATGTTTCATCCTTGAGGCTGAAATCGATCATGAAAATACTGGAAAGTATGATTTGCTGATAAAATACAAAATTTATGAAATAAAGAAAGTGGAGAATTTGAAATATTTCTGAAGTAAAATACGGTTTCGTAACGTAATTATAATCACTAGAAATTATCATTCTGTTTCATTGGTCCATACCTTTATCGGCTGCAACATTTTGTCCTGACTGGAAGGAGCTGCGCCTAGATCCTGGAAGAGATCTGGAAAAATCACGCCCAAGTTGGTACGTCTCAACTTCCAGCTGCTCGGATTGGCTGGAGCCCCGTCTAGAGCTTGAGGCGGACCCTAGTGCCAACCAAGCATGGTCTGGATGTAGGAAGTTGAGCTCTGGGCTGCTGGCCTTCTCATCACTGTCCTTGTCATCTGAAAATCAACGGTAACAAGCAAATATCAGTGTATATTCCTTGTCTCCCTATGAACGACTTGTCTACAGCATACCTATGTAATGCTACCTATATCATCACATCAACCCTTAATGATGAGACGTGAGTCTCAGAAACACCAGAAACCAACACATTGACATGTCTGACTATAACATTACCTAGGGCCGCGCCATAGCTCAAGCGGTTAGTCGCTGGCTTCCCACCGCGGCGACCCGGGTTCGATCCCGGGTCTGGTCAAGTGGGATTTGTGGTGGACAAAGTGGCGCTGGGGCAGGTTTTCTCTGAGTACTTCGGTTTCCCCTGCCAATCTTCAGTCCACCAATTGCTCCACAATCACCCTCACCTATCACCTGGGGCTGGTACAATAGGCCAGAAGTCGCCGCAGTACAGGGAACTTAGTTCCACCCCACTAGCATTAAAAATAATATTACCTACTTAACTATTATCTTCCAGTGAATAGACAGCGAAGAAATTATTTAGGCCAGCTAACATGTAATATTGGACCGCCTCTGTGGTCTAGTGGTCAAAGTTCCTGCCCACCGATCCAGAGGACCCGGGTTCGATTCCCGGCGCTACCAGATTTTCTGAGAAGTGGTGGATCTGAAACTGGGTCCACTCAACCTCGTGAGGATAATTTAGGAGCTATTTCAAGGAAATAGCGGCTCCGGTCCAGAAAACCGAAATTAACGGCCGTGGGGATTCGTTGCACTGACCACGCGAGACCCTCTATCCGCTAACTTCGCCGACAAGCGGCGCTCGCTCGGTCGGTATAGTTCGCTTGCGGACTACAGGCCACGGAGTTTTTTAATATGTAATATTTGTACTATGTAAGCTGGAAGTACTTAATATTGCTGTTGGTACACTCAATGATGTGTCCCTATATAAACAGAAGAATGGCTAAGTTTGACCTATTCTACCCAGCACTTGCTTCACCTTCTCTTGGCTGGAGGATAGTAAGTGCTTAATACATATACAAAACAAAAACAAAGTCCGTGGCTTTAGTCTGCAAGCGAACTATACCGATCGAGCGACCACTGCTTGTCGGCGAAATAATTGCCAAGTTTAGCGGATAGAGGGTGTCGCTTGGTCAACGCAACTACTCCCGACGGCTGTTTATTTCGGTTTTCTAGACCGGAGCCGCTACTTTCTATTCAAGTAGCTACTCAGTTATCCACACGAGGTTGAACTCTGACCACTAGACCACAGAGGCGGTTCTTAATACATATGTAAATTAATTCAGTCAACTCTCTTATGCTGTTTATTTAAATTCTATTTTAATAATGTCCTCTCATGTATTCCTAGGTCTTATAAATGATCACATCGCTTTAGATTTGCAAATCAAAATTCTTTGTTCATTTCTGATCTTTTTTTTTCCCATGTTATATTTTCTGCCTGTTTGTCTGTTGTAAGTACATCAGCTGAAGCCTATACACGTAAAATTCCTGTAAGAGATATGCGAGTCGCACCTGAGAAGGACTTTTGCTGGCCAAATTCTGTTCTTCTGAGGAGCCGCTGAGCGACTTCGTTTGCAAGAGAACTCCGGGGTGATGAATGAGGTGACTTCCCTCCTCCTCGCAGTTGACGGGGGTCCTCAAGTCGGTACCATACTGGTCTGTCCTCTAGAAATGCCTTCTGTAAGTCTACGGTGCATTCGCCTGGAAACATAAGCATTCAGATATTCATCTTTAGTGGAGTAACGAAGCGTTGAGTAGATGTGAAATGATGGCGGTTTGATCAGACGTTTCGAGAAGCGTAGCGAAGAAAACAGGTACAGCTAGTGTCGAACAACAACTGAAACAGAAGTGCGTTACTTTCGAATCTGAGAATAACTATTTAAATTTAAAGTTGCCATGCTTAGAGGAATTGTAGGGCTGTATTAATTGTACGTTTCATACAATTTCATAATATTGTAACCTGGTTTTGGTCCCTACAATTCCCTGAGACGCCATATTCCACCAACGAGAAATTATACTTTTGGCTGTATAAGAGACTATACATCGGAAATGCCGGTCGCAGTGGCCGCGCGATCTAAGGCATGAACCGTTTCGCCCTCTCGAACACTGGGAATGTGGGTTCGAATCCCACTCAAGGCATGGACGTCTGTGTGCATCTATTCTGTGTTTGTGATGTTCTGTGTGTAGATAGCCGCCCTGCGATGGGCTGATCCCCTGTCCAAGGAGTCCTAACGACTGTATGAATTTAAGAAACTGAAAAATCGGCCAAGGTCAACAAGGGCTGTAAGCCATAGATAAATAGATCTACTTATTCTTGACCTCGGCAATATTTCAAGGTGAGTAGTCAGTTTCGAGCCCTGGCCGCTTTTCCTCCGGAGAAAGAGCTCCCGTTACCCATTGGATACGAGGTTGGGTGGGCCCCAGAACCGTTCTGGATTACGTGGAGAGGAGAAAATCTTGCTCCTACTGGGACTCGGAAATCCGACCCCTCGGCCGTCAAACCCGTAGCCAGTCGCTATACCTACTGTGTTATCCCGACACCCACAGAACGTTTATAAGACTAAATTTCAGAATTAATTATTTCTGAATGGGAACAGGCCAGAGACCCTATTTCATCAAGGTATAAGCAGAAGTTAATAGAATCAATTTTAATAATTAATTATACCGCTGTTATTTAATGAAGTAACTGTGTATCGGAGAATAGTCAGTAATGAGTAAATCGAAGCTCTCTTTAGCGTTGTCACTGGCCCGTAGAGCAGTACAGGAGCCACTTACCAAGGAAGACACTGTCTCGGTCGGGGCAGGAATCCCATAACGTTATTTCAATTGTTTTGTCCATGAGTTCCTCGCCTGGGACATTCGGAAAGTCAAACGTTGCATTCCAAATGGGATTCTGCGTGGGTTCCGCTACATCTGATTGAGCACAACACTGCTCGTTCCTAAACAAACAAACAAAGAAACAAAGATACAAAGATGTGTAGGATTTGAGCTTCTCACAGCAGTGGTTATGAAGAGTTCTTATATTCTGACATAACGCCTTGTAGTCCGTTGAAATTCAACCGACATTTCTATTCGACCTGCTTCTCTCGTACTTCTTGCTTAGCTTATTGTTCGACTCTGAAGATGGAGGCGATATCTTCCTCCGAATCATCGATTGACTCAAGGACCACACGGCGTTATATCCCCGAAGATAGACATCTTCGAACGAACCAGTAATTAATGAATGCCGTATTCTGGGAAGTGGCGACGTGTAGATCTTTTGTGAACAGACGTTTCTGAGGAACGCATCGTTTCCACCTTCAGGGTAGCCATCTGCTCACGCTGGTTCCTCATTCGCGGATTCACACAAGATCTACGTGACACCACATCTCAGAAGACGGCATTCTTCATAGTTACCGCCGTGAAAATCTTAAATCTTACGAACCAGTAGTTGTTTTACGTACATTTTCTTTTTGCTAGTGGGGTGGGACTAAGTCCCTTGTATTGCGGCTACTTCTGGCCTATTGTACCAGCCCCAGATGATAGGTGAGGGTGATTCTGGAGCGATTGGTGGGATGAAGACTGGCAAGGGAAACCGAAGTACTTGGAGAAAACCTACCCCAGCGCCATTTTGTCCGCCACAAATCTCACTTGGCCAGACCCGGGATCGAACCCGGGTCGCCGCGGTGAGAAGTTTTATGTCCATTGTCTAGAAGGATATGGAATTCAAAAGATTTTTCTTTTTCCCCCAATGAAATGTTATCAGTCGATGATGATTTCACAAAATAAAGGGAGATTCTAAATTATTGTCAGGGTTTCAGTGGGCTATAAACGGAAAGCAGTCCGACGTTTCGGAGGATAATTTATCCTTCTTCAGTGCTTGCTGCCTGTTTCTTGATGGTTTCTTGCTTGGCTTATTTTTTCTATACTTCAGATGTAGGCGATATGGTCCTCCAGCTACTCAAGAATTTACCAGCATTTTATGGAAACCGAAGGTTCATTACCGTGTTCACAAGAGCCCTCCACTGGTCCCTATCCTGAGCCAGATCAATCCAATCCATTCCATCCCATTTTATCTCTCCAAGATAAATTTTAATATTGTCCACCACCTATGCATTGGTCTTCCCGGTGGTCTCTTTCCTTCTGGCTCTCCCACCAACATTCTATATGTATTCCTCTTCCCCCGTTCGTGCTACATGCCCTGCTCATCTCATCCTCCTTGAATTGATCGTCCTAATTATACTCGGAGAAGAGTACAAGTTATGAAGCGCCTCATTATGCAGTTTTCTCCAACCTCCTGTCACTTCATCTCTCTTCGGTCCAAATATTCTCCTCAACACCCTGTTCTCAAACACCCTCAGTCTGTGTTCCCAAATGTCAGAGACCAAGTTTCACACCCATGCAGAACCACAGGCAAAATTATTGTTTTGTATATTCCAATTTTTATGTTTTTGGACAGCAGACAAGAATACAAAAGGTTCTGGACTGAATGGTAGCAAGCATTTTAACAACATCGGTACTAAAAAAAAAAATTTCTAGTGCTAGAGACTGAAGTAGATGCGAGTAGATTCCATCTACTTTCTTCCGGAGCCATTCATTTGGAAGAAGCGATTGTCAGTGCCTAAAATAAAGTCCGTACCTCTCGTTCAAACGACATATGCACGAGAGAATTCTTGGGCCTACACTGTAATAATTTCATTTTAATATTAAAAGAAAACGATATGTAGGATGATTATAAATAGTTCTAACTACTGGAATATAACGTCGTGTACTCCGTTGAAAGTCAGTCGACGTTTCGGAGGAACATCTCTATATTTAGGGTCGGAGAATAAGCCAAGAAAGAAGCAGGTAGCAAACTCTGAAGACGGAGACATAGTCCTCCGAAACATCAAATTAATTTTAACAGACTACACGGCGTTATTTTGCAGAAGATATAACTGTTCATGAAAGTATACCTTGGTCGGAGCTTCTATCTAGTTCTTAAAAGTAATTCACTGCCCTGAAAATACCACCGGAAAGAACCAAGTTTTCATCACATGTCAGAAAATTTTCTGTTATATGAAGGCGTGAAATCTAACAGAAATTTGACGATGTTTCGAGAGAAAGTAATACCTCATCAGAACCGAAGAGTAATTGAAGTACACAGCAACCATATTGTTCACTTCGCTTGTGGCTTGGCTTATTTTTCGACCTTAAAGCTGTAAATTCCTCAAAAACATAGATAAATTTCTACCAGACTACACGGTCTCATGTCACGGAAGATAATACTTTTTACATATTTATTAATATTAGTTATGTATATTCACACTTCCTCACATTCTTTCAATATCCATTTGAATTGCACTTCAGAACAACCTATAAAATCAAAATGTAACTGCTTAATCTATTGAACAATTTGACATTTTATTGAATGGAGTGAAATTAATACAAAATAATATCATAAAACTGTCATTTTTTTTCGCAGAATAAACCAGTTATGTAACTCCTTTCCCTTAATCTCTAAGGGACTCCAAGATTGAGTTCACTTGTGTCTCACGCTGATTTCATAATATTGAAAAAAAATGATTGATTGGCTGAAGGGACAGCAAACCCCCAAGCATATTTTTTCTCCTTTAATTCCGAAACAGGGTGACATTCTAGTCGTGTAAAGCAAAGCAGGTCAACACAGACTAGTCTTCGCATCTGGAACGAGGTCACCGGGTTCTCCTTGCATAACATTTTTGTAAGGAGCATCTTCCCTGACCTAGATTCAGCTCATTTTCATCCTATTTTCTTTGGCTTTCTCTTCGACGTGTTTTCGTCTTGTCACATACAGGATGTTCCAAAATAATACAGTATGCGCCAAAAGATACAATACTGAAACTCGCGCACCTCGAACGCGCATGTTCGTTTGTCGACGGGGCATAGCTCCAGCCGCACGTGTTCCGAGTAGTGAAAAGGAAGGTGTGTTGTGCAGTTGTTGAAAATGGGTCTCTCAACGGAGGAAAATGTATTCATAATTGAGTATTATTTCCGCTCATACGGAAGTGGTCGCCAGAAAACTCGCTTCCTTGGTTTTGAGCGGCCAGATGTTATCGTCCAGAAACCGCTACACAGTACACGTGTGACGGTATGGTGCGCCGTCTCAGCACACGGTATATTAGGCCCCTATTTCGATGAGGATGAGGAAAATAGTGCTCTTACCGTCACCCAAGAACGATACAGGGACATGGTGATCGGACCATTTCTTCAGGATTTGAGAAGGTTCTGTCGTGCAAGGGGCCTTCACATGAATGGACAGTGGTATCAACAGGATGTCTTTTAATTTCAGTACAGTATATTTTGGCGCATACTGTATTATAGTGTACTTCCAATGTACAGAGTTGTAGATCATGTTTGGATGATAATGTAGGATGTTTTAAACATCTCCAATAAGAATACCTTGACGAAATCTCTGTGTTATCATTTTTAGTTGCTTAATAATCTATGAAGAGAGTATGAAAGCACAAGAAAACGAGCAATCATTATTCTGGGAAATTCTGTATTTGTATAGATTCGGTTGAAAAGAAATCTGTTTATGTTTCCTTCGTCGTACTTAAACAAAAGTAAAATGAAATAATAGACTTGAAAAGGAATACGAAATACAGAACAGCTAGAAAATAAAGCAGATGGATTTCCAAAGAGTTCCACTGATAGAACAAGATTCGACGGCACACCTGACTTACAACTTTACACGTTATGGCAATTCATTTTTCCTACAGGGTCAAGTCAGAGGCTGCTGTCTCTAGGAAACTAATATGTTTATGGCTTATAGAGTCTGACTTTGAAATATAACGCGGTTTAAATACAGTACAATAAACATTAAAACAAGTCATAAAATGTCGATTTTCCTTCCGTGAGGCTAAAAAATTACATAAAAACGAAATTACAAAACTCTATTCATAGTCTCCGTTTACAAGTATATACAGCCTAGCGGGGAGGGGTGTTTACCGAGTGTTGCGTAGTTACGGGATGATTGGGGTGTGTGACGTCATTCGCACTTCCTGTTGCGCAATCCAAGTGTTCACAGAGTTGTCGCCTAGCAACGCGCCTATACAATCCGCAACTCTCACGTCGCGCGCGTGCCCCGAGGCCTCTGTGGTTCAACAGTTCCTGCATAGAGCCAATACGCCACAGTGTTATGTCCATAGTACTCTTCACAAAAGTACGTCAAGTATCTTACTTAATTGTGAGAAGCATATGTAAATCTGTAATGTATCCGAAGGGTCCAGTAACACCTATTTCATTTTCAGTAGTATGATTGCTGGCTCAGTGAAATGAAAGATTTTGTGGACATTACCCATCAATTTAGTTATCCGTTTGAAACGAAAGTTTTGCAGATTGGAATCCGTTCTCAGATAAAAAGTCTACTCAGTTGGGTTCAATCGATAGAGCTAGTCCCTTTTTCAGGGTCCCTAAATAGGGGCTAGCTCCACCAATTAAGCTCAGCAAAGTAGGCTTTTATACTGTCACGTGTATGGAGTGTGATTATAGACGGGCGTTTGGATTGGCAATTACATTTATTGAACTCTTACAGATCCGTGACTACAAGTAATTATAACCGTTTCACTAATTAGCACACTTTACAGTTTACTAGAGCACACACTTAAGTCTTCACAGTTTGCTGTGTTCACCAGTCGTTCTCTGGTAACGGTTTCCAACGTCGGACGTTCCCCTTCCTCTGGATTTCCGAACTATCTCTGGCCTTAGCTACAGCAACTCTCGACTAACTAACTCAGTCACTTACCAACCAACTGACTCACTCAACTCAACTTACCAAATCCACTGACTGTCTTGCTTATAATATCTCGGCACGGACCCCGTAGAAACCACCGTTCTTCTTGTGCTGTTAACGGGCCATTGCCTAGTAACGGCCGTTATCTAGCTGTTTGTTTCGCGGTCGTTGCCCAGCAGCGGGTCTACAGATGACAATACCTGTCCCTATCCGGAAATATACACTAGCTCTATAGATTGGGGCCAAATTGTAGGCTTTCTTCCCGAGCACGGGGACACAGCCCAGTCTCCGAAACGTCGTATCAAGTAAAGAATTAGGACGCTAGAAAATCATCAGAAAATTAATCGTGTAATAATGCATCATCGTCACGAACCTTTAGATCTTACGATCACTGATTTCTTAATATTTTCATTCTACCAGACTGTCGTAGTCCAACTCTGGAATAGTCACTACAGCATCTGTCGTTCGGAAGGCAGAATACTTTCTGATTTGGGGAGGGGGGGTTAACTTATTTATCGGTACTTCGTAACTAATGCAAGGCGGATGGGTGACAAAAGGTTCCACCTCATTTTGTCTTGTGAATAATAAACATTTTCTTGTATGTTCAAACTTGGCGTTTCGAATCTTTACCAAGTCAAACACACACACAAAAAAAAATTGATATTATTACCACTCCAAATTTTAGACTTTTGCAAGAATTTTATTTTATTTTATTTTTTTGTTCTTATCAGGAACTGAAGCATACAGTTGACATGCAGGTAAGTGAGAAAATATTGATTACGTAGCTGAGATGTTCATGCTAGGAGAAATTCATATCCACGAACTCCATAGCTGCGAACGTACTGAATAAGGCGTCTCAGAGGAGGGACAAGGGAAGGTTCTCCAGCTTGGAGGCTGGGCGGTGAGACTTTGCGCCGCAAAAAGTTGCGGACTGCTGAGAACACGTGTTCCATAAATTTGGGGCTGAGGATACGTTCTCCACCTTTCTTGAGGTGAGCGGTCAGCTTCACGCCCCGAGGAAAGAGCCCCCGGTACCCATTGGATAGGAGCCTAGGTGGGCCCCAGAGCCGGTCTGGACGCTGTTGAGAAGAGAAAAATCTTGCCCTGCCAGGAATTGAACCCGGGTCGTCCAGCTCATGTCCCGTCGCTATACTGACTGAGCTATTCCGGCTTCTTCATTTTAATATATAATTATGAAAACGTCTGCTATATGCTAATTAAACTACTTTTTTTACTTAGTACCCATTGCAAAACAGACGAAGTGCAGTAACTACAAATAATGGCAAAAATTTTCTGCACAAGAATATTATAAATTGTGTTACTTACGTCACTGGCATCAACCTGAGTTTGACATAAGCTTCAGGGAGCGTCCCGTAGCCGGTGTCTTCACGGGGCGCCAGGTCGTCAGCGGCCAGCACAGACACAACAAGTTCTTGTTTCTCGTCATGGTAGAACACTTGAAGCTGTGTTCGACCGCTCACCGCTTTCTCACGTGCCAGTTGTTCCTGGACAAGAACAACTCTAAGTGCTCCCTCACTGACGCATAGCATTTTTTTAAAGAAGCTGTGTCCAATGTCTAAAGCCTTTCATGACCACAAAATATCTAGGAAAGAATAGCCTATGGCTAACGACTCTCGCAGACCTGAGAGACAACGTATTTTCCTCGAATCTGCATTGTAATAATTCAATTTTTGATACGTGTGTCTCATTTCACGAGCTTTTCAATTGATACTTGAGCTTCCAACAAGTTCTGAAAAGCCATTTCCACATATTCGTGGATATCGAAATTTTAAATATTAAGGTAAAGGTAAAAGTATCCCTGTAACAGGCCGTGAAGGCCCATAAGGTTGTGAGAGGCTCCCACATCTTCTAGACAATTGACTCACAGATGGCGGTGAGGTTGTCAGCCTTACGCGCCGGCCGCCCCTTACCCCCAAGAATATCCCTGGTACTCATTTCTGTTAGAGGCTGAGTCGACCCCAAGGCTATAGTGAGGCTGAAAGGATTAGGTAAACTGAAAAAAAAAAGTTCACCTCATCGAGATTTGATCGTGCGACCTTCCGACTTGTAGCATATTGCCTCAACCAACTACGCTACCGCGTAGTGTTTAAACAAACGGATAGAGTTATGTAGCATGCACGAGGGAGAAGAGTGACGCATGTTTGGTTTTAGTAGGAAACCCAGAAGGAAACACAACTCGATAGACGTAGATATACGTGAGAGGATAACATTAATATGGATCGTAGAGAAATATGATGGAGTGGTATGGACAGGAATCATCTGGTTCAGGACAGGGACCAGTGGAGGACGCTTGTGAACATGGCAATGAACCTCCGGGTTCCATAATTTGTTGGAAAGTTGTTGAGTATCTGTGTGGCTGGTGCCTTCTGAAGAAGGACTCGTCTCCAAAGAGTCTGTATAGTTTAAACGTGTGTAAGGTGTGACAGGTTACGCATGTGTATAGAAAGAATATTCCGGGAGATTAAAAGTGTTACTACAATATTGGCGAAGAGTTGCAAATGTAGATATCTCCTGAATAAATTGTCGCTAGAAACAGTTTGTTTAAAAATGTTTTATGGTGGTTGAAGGTGGCTTTCTGATATGTATTTAATGCAAACGCCTCTAAATATAAAAAGATTTAATCCTGAGTTAAGGATGTAAGGAACTGTTACTGCTTTGTCTTACTTGGCTGGTTAACATTACAATTTTAATGGCTTTCTAGTTTCATATTTGTCTTCTGATAATCTCTTCTCTTTCTGGATAATCAGGTATCAACAAGATTGTTTAAGTTAAAGATTTTTCATTATAGAAGAAGTAATAAGTCTAAAGAGATTAACAAGTTCCTGAAGAAAGAAGCTACTTTTGAATCAAGAAATATTCGAATAGATCGCTTCAACATTGCTTTTTTGAGTCCGTGTTAAAATAAAGTACACCGAAATGTATGACTAAACGAAATAGTATTGTGGCATGTAGAGCCAATGCTAGGAAACGAGTTGACAAACACTAATCTGTAAATATTGATTCTTGGAAACTAAATAACTGCGGAACACATTTCCATGGATAAGACCGAACAGAAAACATTTCCTTGGATAGCAACACGTTATATAAGAGGCTGTTCAGATGAAAATGAAGTTCTCCCGTGTCGAGGTGAGGTCGAGTATCTCCATCGTACCCTTGCGAGTCGTAGGAGGCGACGAAAAGTGAAGTCTCGAATCTGTGACAGTAAAATATGGCCGCAGGTCCCACAGGACTCGAACCCGAGAATGACTGCGTTGGCGAGCGTCAGCAGCAATTGCGAACGACAGACCCGTCCTCTCGTTAGAGAGAGCGCCCCACACCAAGGCAATAATAAAAATCTGGTCGTAAGCCTCAAATTGGTGCTTTATGCCAAGCCAGACTGGCCGACTGACCGTCGGTCGTAACATAAGTCACAGACTCTGACTTACTCGTGGCTAAGCAGAGTCCAGGAGTGTTCAGCAGTTGACAGTACAAGGACGAGAATGGACGTGTCCTTATTGAATTATGAAGATTAATTGAATACGGATTAGGACAGAGGAGTACAGAGTGACTGAAGACGAAATAATAAGACTTCACAGTGATTTGAAGCGCTAGTTTGTGTGCTGAGATCCGTTGCTAGGAGGCGACTATTGAAGACGAAGAATCCTAGTGCGTGTGCAACGGTGAACTGTAAATTGAGCAAATCAGCGATAGCGCTGTAATAATTGTAATTAAGAGAGAAAGAGAGAATGTAATAGAAGTGCTAATAAATCCAATCATCCGAACTAGAACCCGTTATTTTCGTCACGCGTACCACCCTACACTTGGTGACAGTAATATGTTATAAATATTTAAATAGTGAGTCATATAATTAATTCATAAGCTCGAATGTGTACACCTGAATTCCTGAACATATCTGTAGTATTCCCGTCATTACCTACCGACTTAAAATCCAGTTCACAGATTGTAGCTTTTTTTTCCGCTTAGCAGTATCGGTATTCTGAAGTATATTCTACTCTGTATGTTAGCAGTAATTAAAATTGTTGATAAAAGCTGTGTCATAAATCAGAGTGTTTCAGTTCAGAATCCTGAATAAAGAGAAGCAAAGAATTCTCATATGTAAAATTACAGAGTATAAGAAATTTAATTTTGGAATAGTTACTTACACTATTACTCCAAAGCAAGCCGCAAGAAGTATAAATTTTGTACATGATACAATAAATTACGAATATGTACATAATTAAATATGGCGGCGAGCGTAAGAATTTTATCTCTTCCACGTCGTTCAGACCAGCCCTGAGCCCCACCCAGCGTCCTGTGTAATGGGTACCGGGGGCGATTTCCCCGGGGGTAAAGCGGCAGGGACGTGAAACTGATCATTCACCTCCATCTAGTGCCGAGGTGAAGAATGGTGGAGCTATACCTCCGTTTTCCTATATGTATTCATGGCATAGTGCTTAATTAAATACAGGGACAGCTTTAGCTTTCACATTTGTCAAACATCTGAGACTGGGCTGAAAGAGGAAAGGTTCTTATGCTTATGTCTTTTAGGCAAAACTTCTGCCTTTACTATAACCAGCTTCGATGCGTGCATTTCATTTTGGCCGTCTTCTCATCTGCATTTCTAAGAGTGTTGGGAGCAAGCTGCACGGACTGTTTGGGTTTACCACAGGGGTGTGTATATTCTCTGGTAGTTTACTGCAGTGTTTCTCAATCAGTGGAACACGTCTCACTGCTGGAATGCGAGTGTTGGCTGTGCAGGACGTGAGGTATTGAAAATGAGGAACTCCATTAATGATTAATATGATATTAAAATATGCATAATTGTAAAAATATTGATACATGTACACCCAGTGTTGGCAACGGATTGGTAAACAAATTCTCTCGAAGACAGATTCTTGGTAAACAGTCCGTTGCTACGTTACACAACAACAGAGGAATGTCCGTAGACATTCTCACGGAAACGTATACAGGCAACAATAGAAGAACTGTCGTTTATATGCGACGACCGGTGAACACCCACCCTTAAGAACGCGACAACAATATAGGGAAAATTAGGCACCAAAGCTGCAAACACGAATTCTTAACAAAAGAAGGCGATGTTTTCCGTAGGGTCCGTGCAGAATTATTATGTTGAAGACAATCAGCGCTACCAGTCATTCAGTTTTCGGTAGGAGGTAGCCACCGGAGGTTTGTAGTAGAAGAAGAATTATAAATCAGCTTATGAAGACTTAGTATGTGATTTGAAGACTTTATGTGTGCTGTAGTGCAGTGATATCTGGAGTATGACAGTTGTAGTTCCTGTGTTAAAATCCGTTGCCAGGAAACGAGGTAGGGAATTCTTTGCAGAGGAATAGCCATTGTTTAGAGTGTTACTTAGCAACGACAGCAGCGCCATAGCTCAAGCAGTTAGTCGCTGGCTTCTCACCAGGGCGACCCGGGTTCGATCCCGGGTCTGGTCAAGTGGGATTTGTGGTGGACAAAGTGGCGCTGGGGCGGGTTTTTTCCGAGTACTTAGGTTTCCCCTGCCAATCTTAATTCCACCAAATTCGCCATCACCATAATCACCCGGGGAAGGTACAGAGGCCAATCAGTGGCCGCCGTGCCGAGTGGACCCAGCTGGACTCCACTCCCCACTAAGCGAATATAATTTAATTACTTAGCAACGACTAGTGTAAACAGGTATAGAAGATTTTATTTATGTGCTATAATTATAGAAATCTTGGAAGTGTTATAATTAATTGTAGTTACGACCTGTAAATGGTCAGTAAATCCAATTACCAATCCGAACCCCGTCTTTAGTCACTGATACACGTGACAATATAGTATTTCTTGGAAAGACAGAAGCGATGCTTTGCTATTATGGGATCCTAACATTTTGAAAAAGTGACCGGTAGAACACAATTTGCAAAAGATTCAGAGTCATTGGCACTGAGAATGAAAACTGCATAATGAAGAGCTTCATAACATGTGCCAAGTATAATTAGAATGATCAAGTCAAGGAGGATAAGATGAGCAGGACATATGGCACGAATGGGGAGAAGAATGCTTAATAGATTTTGGTGGGAAAACCAGAATGGAAGAGACAACTAGGAAGATCAAGACGTAGCTGGTAGTATAATATTAAAATTGACCTTAGAGACGTAGGATGGGGTTGTATGGACTAGATTTACCTGGATTAGGATAGAGCCCAGTGGAGGGCTCTTATGGAAATGGTAATGAATCTTTGGGTTCCATAAAATTTCGGGAAATTCTTGAGTAGCTCAGCGTATGGTGGCTTCTCAAGAATGAGTCATATGCATGTAATTAGTTAGTTTATGCCTGAAAACGAGGCTGGATAACGCACAAAACGGATATCGGAATGCACCATTTGTAGAGCAATAGATTTAAATAAATTGCACCGTTAAAATATACGCATGCACAGTTGAAAATTATCTCACTTACTCTTCGTGGAAATAATTTCAGTTTGCAACGAGCAAAGAGGGAAAAATATCCCCGTGATACATTG